TCTTAGGTGTGTTACAGGGATAGTTCACCCTCTGTAAAACACTAAAGTTTTTTACCTTGAAACCATGGTCCTTGAAAAATTAAAATGCAAGCAGCTACCGTCAATTTGAGAGTCAATAAAAGCATATCAGGCATGACAAAATTAATACCCGTGGCTCCTGACGATATATTGAGGTCTTGTGAAGTGAAACGATCGGTCTGTGCAAGAAACTGAACATTATTTACAGGAAAATGGACAAGTCCGATTCTTTTCTGATTCATTCGGACACTTCACGTTTCAATAAACTGGTTCAAATAACTGATTCACCAGTTCGTTTACATAATGATGTAACATATATGCAATTATATTATTGAAGCACCCAATAATAATGATGTGAAAGGTACGGTTTACGCATGTTCATCAGCAGCTCTTCGGTCTTCGGTCCGAGTCGAACTGTTTCCTCAGTTCAGTGACTGTTGGAGGAACTGGAGCGCTGAATCAGTTTATTCATCATAGAATCAGATACGCCACTATTTTGGCTCATTTCCAGTCGGAGTGACTGTCAGGCGTCTGAAAGTGAGTTTTGATTGAGTAACTTGTAGATCTGTGCTGCTCGAGCTGCAAACTGTTTCAGACGCTTCAGTCCGATTTGGTTCACTAAAAAGAATCGGTTCAAATGAATGATTCGTTTGTAAACCGGACGTCACTCCAGACCGTTTGCCTGGATGAGGCTCTGGATTACAGGTAATAATGTTGCAAATAATGTTCAATTTCTCACACAGACTGATTGTTTAGCTTCATAACACCTCAATATATCCACGGGTATGAATTTTTTGTTGTCTGATATGCTTTTTTTTTACTCAAAGCGCCAGTTTCCATTGGCTTACATTTTATTGGTTTCAGCTAAGAATCCACTTCTACTGTTCTACTGAAGAAAAAAGTCACATCTTGGATGGCCTGACGCACAGTAAATTAACAGCACATTTTCATTTTTGGGTGACGGTTACATTAAGGGAACATTAAGAGATAAATGTGACAGAATGAAATACCATGACTTGAAAAATGTACTACTGTATTAATATGAAAGGACTGCAGATAGGTATTTCATTTCCACCCTGCTTTCATTTCCGATCAGCATCGACCTCAGAACAAGACCTTGCATTTAAACGCAAGCGCATGTGAAACTTTGCGAACCCTCACAGAAAATGAACATGATTCTTGTTTAGAGTCAGAATTAGGACATTACAGATGACGTACAGTACACAGTAAAAGCAGTCAGGTTTAGTCATGTTCTTTCACATCAAAATGTTTAATTTAGAGTACATGAAACAGAAGAGAAAAACAGTATAGTTTTGGCATGTTGAGCAGAGAGTCTCTGTTCGTCATTCACAGATGGTTCTTGTTAGCGGTGAAGGCAGTGGGCTCTCAGGACCCTTTACATTTCACAGTTAAATAGCTTTCTTACACATCGAAAGTCTGTGATAGTGTCAAAAACCCTTTAAGTGAGAGATTGTATCTTATTTATTCCTAAGAGGCAGACACTGAAAGATCAGATCAGTGGTGCCTGTATGTCTGTTCCAGATATGGATACGCCCTAATATTTCATTAGCTTTCCATTACTAAACCCAAAAGGTTATTCCATTAAAAGAAGTCATAAAAAAAAGAAAAGAAAAACAAACATGCTTGAGCAGTTCGTCAGATTTAAAGTACCCATGAAACGTTTTTTGGGTGTTAGTATCGATATGTTAGTCTTAAGGTTATCTATAAGGCAGTGTGCTCCAAAACAGTGACAAAATTCGCATTTAGAAGATATAAGCATTCAAAGCTTGCAGTTCGTCACTTCCGCCAAAACGGCTCAGTGATTTTTTTGACGTCACATCGTACTTCAGCTTCTCATCAAACTTTCTGTCCAATCAAATGCTCTCTAGAATCCGAAGCCCCGCCCCCTACACTATAAAATAGACGCTGAAGCCGCGGCTGAAATCGGTCACTTGTCCACAGAATTAATATTTTCTGTACAGTGAATGGCACGTAGTGCACTATATAGGGGACAGGGAACGATTCAAACAGTGTAAATATGCTTTCCATTGAGTCTGGTTTGGCGCTGTGTCCCGCTAACCACCGCACCGCGCACACACTCTGCTCCGGTCCAGAGACACGATAACACGGAGCGGATCACATGCGCGAGTCGGCGCAGACCACAAAATGTATC